GCATCCAATACGTATTTAGAGACTTGCGCGACAGATATACGTTTTCGGGAACAGACGCCCTAGGAAGTGCTTAATAAAAAGAAAGAAAAGAAGACTAGCGTGACTACTCAATGTCCTGCCTACCGAAACTGATGTGCGCGGCCGTGATGATAGACAAATGGGTTGTTTGTTTATGCTACACACCCGTGAGAAGTACAGCTGGCCTTGCTCTCGGATCCCTTGACGCAGCTGCGTCTCCTTTCAGCTGCAGGTCGAATCGACGCTGATGTAATCCCGCTTTGTAAACACGCCGTATAAACTGCAGGTGCACAAGGAGGTCGTATACATTTTTTTTACACGCTTCGCATCATCTCCGGTTCACGTACCAATGCTTGTCGTAAATTATATCGAAGCGACTATTGTTGTCGCTGGGGTAAGCGTCTCGCGTTGAAACACGTATAGCACAATACGTTTCAGGTAGCTGTCGCGATATATTCTGAATCGTTTCCAAGTTTGAAACTTCATCATTCTCTGAAATCGATGGCGATTCAAATTCCACGCGTGACTGTGCATCAAGTTCAGCGTGACATAAACAAACTGCCTGCGCCTCACATGCCAAAGACACATGTTCTTATCTAGCCCGACGAGAGCTTGCAGCATGATGTCATGACTCACGTATGTGGAAATAGAAATGAAAAAAAAAAAGGCCTGCATATACGGTGCTTATATTCAAATGCTACTACTACAGCGCGAACTTGTAGAATGAAAGCAAACAAGAAAACGACCGAAATAAGCAGTGTAAAATAAAAACTTGCGGATATTAAGTGCTCCGGTTATGCCGGTCCACAGAACTTTGCCAGCTGCTTTGGTGCGTGCACTCAAAGTACATAAGGTGCATATTTTACACGAGATCGATATCATTCAGCGACAACTTCAGAGTGTAGAAGGGGCAGCTTCTCTTGCTTTTACGTGATTGACAGCTACAGACAATATACTTACAGATGGAACGCACACGCCCGATAAAAAAGGGTATACATGTCATTCAATACAGGATATTAAAAAACAAACAAAAAGAGCAGTATCATTTTGTGAGCGAGAGGGAATCCCGTTATGATTGATTGATTGATATGTGGGGTTTAACGTCCCAAAACCACTATATGATTATGAGAGACGCCGTAGTGGAGGGCTCCGGAAATTTAGACCACCTGGGGTTCTTACCGTTATGATAACTTACTCGTTAATAGTAATCATGTAATGAGGGCTACATTACGCGTCTTGGCATGAATCCAAGCGAGTGAATAATTGATGACGTAATTGAAGAAAGCGACGGATCGACGCATTATTACTTGGGCCGTGAAAAACGTTAAATGGAACTCGACATGGATTTCAACCACCTGTTAATTCGCGAGGAGTAGGGATCGACAATGGACACTTACGCGATAGAACAACTGTCTGTGACTCTACAACCTATATATAAGAGATGGCAACCTGTGTCTCGTTGATATTTGCCTTGATTGATACATGTTTGGGGGTCATTAGCACGTCGTCGTCGTCGTCGTCGCCGTCGTCGCCATCATCATCATCATCATCATCATCATCATCATCATCATCATCATCATCATCATCATCCTACGCCCACTGCAGAGCAAATACGTCTCTGGCGTTTCACCAAATAATCTGGTCCTACATGTGCTTGCTGTGGCCACATTATCACCGCAAGATTCTTCATATGACCTACTCAACAGACTTGCGGCCCTTCCCTGCAACGCCATCCTCCTCTTCGAATCCGGTAGGCTACTCGTGATTGATTTGATTGATTGATTTGTGGGGTTTAACGTTCCAAAACCACTATACGATTATGAGAGACGCCGTAGTGGAGGGCTCCGGAAATTTTGACCACCTGGGGTTCTTTAACGTGCACCCAAATCTGAGTACACGGGCCTACAACATTTCCGCCTCCATCGGAAATGCAGCCGTCACAGCCGGTAGGCTACTCATAATGACCAGCTGTTATCTTGCATACGCGCTACGTGCCCTGCCCATGCCTGTTTCTTCTTGACATCGAATATGACATCCTTAACTCCCGCTTGTTCCCTGATATATGTCCTCTTGTCCCTCAAGATAATACCTATCACTTCGAACTGCTCACGGGCTCAGAGGCCACTGCACGTTAGTTTTTTTTTCGTAAAACTGGAAGTCCGTGTTTCATAACTTTATGATGCTTGTGCCATGGGCGTACATAATTCGAAAATTGCAAAGTTCTCGATGCAAGCGGCATGCAGAGCTAGACTCCAATTCTATTTGCCAAGAGAGAGAAAAAAAAGCACTTTATTTAAAGTTCACGACATCAGTTTTTTTTTTATTCTCCTCAAACTTTCCAGTCTTCAGAGGCACAGTGGGTTTGCCAATCAGATTTTCAACATATCGCGTCTTAGACGATGAATATTTTTCTTTGTCAGTACATCACATCATATCAGCATTGTGCAAACTCACCAAATGCACTGTTCCCAGCTGTTAGCTT